TCCAGCCTCCAGAACTGTGAGGAGATAAATTTCCACTGTTTAAGCCATCTGGTCTCTGGTATTTGAGTACGGAAAACCTAGTAGACTTAATACAATCACTCACCAGGTCACCAAACCAGTCTCAAATCATCATGGACTGATCCTTCTCCCTTAACTCTCATATCCAGATTTGCCTAAGATTTTCATCAATATATTCATCCTAAATATTGCTTCATTTTGCATATTTGTCTTTATACCCTCTGCTTTACCTCCTAGGGCCAAGTTTCTTCATTTTCCTGAACTATAGCCCTCTCCTAACTGTTCTCTTCTGCCTTCAGTTGCAATCCCCTTTATCCTGAACTTAACCCGTTATGTCAGTCATCTTTCTACAGACAAGGTTATCGAGTCACTTCCCTCTCAGAAGCCTCTTAGTTCCATAAGCTACAGGACAAAGGACAAATGTCTTATTTTGGCATATATGGTCCTTTGGAACAGAGCCCAAATAAACTGTCTAGCCTTTTCTCTATTGCTATTTCTCTAAGCTCTGGCCAAATGAAAAAGGCCATAGCTCAGCCAGCCTTCCTCGCTTGCACTATAAATATTTGCTTATATATCTCTTGACTCAGTGAAGCCTTTCCACCATACTTGAATAGAATAGGCCATTCTCTTTGGAGTGTCATAATTACTGGGTTTTCTTTTATTCACACCTGTGTTTTACATTCATAATATGCAGTGAGTACATTTACATGGCCTTCTCACTAAACTATGAATCTTTTGGGAATAAGAATAGCATGTAATTCGTATTTGTATTTTGTGTATTCGGCATCGGGCCTGACCATAGTATTTGACAAACAAGTGCTTCATAAATGAATGATAAAATAATAAATCAGTGGTATTCAAACTCAAATATTCAGCTCAAAATCTTTTAAAACATTCTACTGACATAGAATAAAGTTTGGACCTCAAATATTCACGATCATCTCTCTGGACAAAAACCACACTTTTCCATCTTCATGTCTCTGTTTATAGGGTTTCCATATTTAGTCCCAGTTCAAATATTACCTCCCACAAGCTAGAAGTAACTTCTTGAACTTTGTCTTCTTAGTAGAATGGCTTTCTGTTTAATAATATTTAGTGCTATCATCTCTTTTAGGCTTTAAGATTTTTAAAGTAAAAATCCATAGCTGACTGATGTTCAGATTTAATGCCTACTTCCGTTCATATAGCAGACACTCAGCAAAATACTGTGACATCCACTTTATGAGTATTTGTTGAGTATATCAGTTGCTTTCAGACACTATGTTCATGAGTCTTATCATTAAATAAAAGTTTTCTGCATATATCTATATTATATGTACATTTAGTTATGTATAAATTAAAACATGCATTAAAATACTAATATATAGTATAGTACATTATATGGATTATAATATATTCAGAAAAACTAAAAAATTAAAGGTTAAAAAAATAAATATGAATGGAAGTTTTCATATTTTTCCTGCATCTCAATGAATCTGCTTATGCACTCTTTGTGGGGTAAGTCCTTCTTCAGAGGCCATTAAAATAAACATTATTCCTATTTTATTATAGCAAACGAATTATTAATAACCTGCCATAGTACTGCTCTAGTCATCTAGCATCGTTCAGAAATGAGCATTCGGCATAGTCTATTTCCTATGTGATGGAAGTTTAACCCGTTATAGGTAGGAAAGGAATTGGCCAACTGCCAAGTTGTTGATTGAATGCCCACCACATGCTAAATACTGTGACACATCCCTTGTGTCTACAATTTCATTTAACTCTAAAAATAATCCAGTGAAGTACATATTGTTAGGCCCATCTTACAGATAAGAAAACAAATTTTCAGAAGATTAAGATATTCATTATAGTCACAGTCTAGACCTAGGGTTGGAATCCACGTTTGCCTAACCCTAACGCCTATATTCTTCCTAATATATCCAATCATAGCAACATTTAATAGATTTGTTTTCTTTTTTTAATCTACAAAGCCATGTTAAAATGATCAAACATTTATTTTTCCTTTTAAACTCATAGGCTGAATCTCTCTTGGCATTATCCTCACCCTGGTCCTCTGGCCTGTGTTGTGGCAGTCCACACAGGCATAGAGATCAGGATAGGATCCCTGGCTCACTGACACGGATACTCAAGTGTATACGAGTATTCTGATACCTTTTTCACTGATGAAAGTTCATGTTGCCAACTCACTTTTACATCATCTGCCCCATGGTCCTCTAGGTAAAATAAAGCTTGTACATGCAATACCCCTTTTTCACAAAACGAAATTCTGAATCAAAAATTAAAGCAGAAAAAAATTAGACAACCCTACCTTCTTGAAAATTATACTGCTGTAACTTTTCTCATCAATGTCTATTGAGCTCTGAGCACCAGAGAATATGGGTTATGTTATTTTTTTCTACTTAATATAATAAAAATTGTGATCTCTGTTTCAGCTTTCAATCTTTCCTCTAGGCCACTTATCCAAGTTATCATGATGGAACACTTTACCATGTTGATTGCCATATGTTGTTGGCTGAAGAGTAGTGGGCACAAAAACGCAGATAAGAACAGACTCCCATTTTAGGACACTTGCTTGTGGAGAAAGAGAGTGACACCAGTAACTAAGGGAGACTATCTAACGGGTGGTAATCAGCATAAGTTCTCTCAACTTTCTCTTTAAGTGGCACAATCCAGCTGTGCCACTCAATCTTTTAATAAATAAATTTGGTACTCTCACCAGAGGATGGATCTTACAACACAGCTTAGGTCTGCTGTTAGGAATATGTTTTAGATAGAACATCCGTTCAGAAACTGCAAATCTTTCTTTGCAATTTTGTATTATGGCTGGACTTAATATTATAAGGTATTACAAGGAATCGCTTCCGTACCAGCAGACGAAACTCTAGAATGGTGCTATACGGAATATAGTAATACTCCAGAAAGCTATTGACGTTAATATGGCCTTGCTTGACCTTTCGTTGCTGAATTGTGCTAGTGTAATATGTGCATAGTATAACACAATAGTTGGATGCTTGAGAGACAGCTAAATCTGAATGATTTTTTTTGACTCTTCTTTTTCCCTTATTTTCTGTAGCATCAGTAAATTATGGTCTTCAAGTGAAATCCAGCCTAGAGCCTGGTTTTGTATGGCTCTATGCTAAGGTTTTTACACTTTTAAAGATTTGGAACAACAACAATAAAATTATGCCAGAGAAATTTATACAGCTGACAAAGACGGCAATATTTACTATCTGGTTATTTGCGGAAAAAGTCTATCAGCTCACGCTGTAGAAAACACTAGAATTTTTCCTCTTCCTTCTGCCTTCTGCCTTTCACAGTCTCTGTTCTCTGTTTTTAAGAGAGCTAATTGCTTAATAGTCTTCTAAGACTTGTCTCCATTTCTAATCTCCATCACTTTATTGACTGCTATTCAATTCTTCTTGTCTTTCCTATATCACTTGCCTTCATTTCCTCTCCCTATTGTGTTCTCCCGAATTTCTTGACCTCACTATAGAGGAGCCTGTCATTTAACAACCAATACAATAAAAGTGTGTCTTGCTAGGTAGCTAATTATTAAATGTTATATATGTAATCTTCAGTATTCATCTTAATTTTTGCTGCTTCTTCAGTCAGAAAAAAAAATTTAAAGACATTTCCTCTTATTTCATGCCCTCCTTTTTTATATAGCTACTGTCCCTCCCTCCTTTTTTTTTTTAAATTTTTTAACGTTTATTTATTTTTGAGACAGAGACAGACAGAGCATGAATAGGGGAGTGTCAGAGAGAGAGGGAGACACAGAATCTGAAACAGGCTCCAGGCTCTGAGCTGTCAGCACAGAGCCCGACGCGGGGCTTAAACTTACAGACTGAGAGATCATGACCTGAGCAGAAGTTGGACGCCTAACCCACTGAGCCACCCAGGCACCCCACCCTCCCTCCTTTTTTAAAAAATTCATTCTTTTTAACTTTAGCTTTCATGACCCTAAGCAGCTGTAATTCACTCACTTGTTACTGATTATCTTACCTCCAGGCAATTAAAGCAAAACCCAATTTTTTTCTGCTTGAGTTTTTTGTTTGAAAGGTCAAATGTAGTCATATACATATCTTAAAGTTTTCTAAATTACATTTCAATTTTTAAAGATGAACTGAAGCTACACAGGAGTGAGCTGGACTTCTAATATTGGTTTTGTACTCTTTCCAGATAGTCATCTTGGTAACTACCAATGATCAACACAAAAAACAGCCACCACAACAGTTTCCCATCTTTCACCTCATTATATCCATGAATGTGATGAAATGCATTTAGCCTTTTTCTCATTTTACAGCATGAGACCCTCTACAACACCATATTATTTATAGACCTATGAGGAGCTAAGTATGGATATAAGGTCTTCAATTTCTCTGATATTTTCACCAAGTCATCTCACATTCCAAATATTTCCTTTTAAAATCTTCAGTGGTATGTACTTCAAATTTTTTTTAGTTATTTACATTCAAAAAATATGTGTGATTTTTTTTTTCATTTCAAATCCTTTCTATTATCACAATCATGTATAAATGACAGGACAATGTGGTTCTATAACGTCCAACACTAGAAGCATTATAAAAAAAAAAAAGTTTGTTGTGCAATGTTCTAATGTCTACTTAATCCATAAAGACAGAGAGGAATTCTCTCATTATTGATGTAATATAGAATATATTCTGGTTATGCAAGAACAAGAACTTTAAGCCTGGATGGCAACAACATTTCTGTGTAATGAGACTGTTTACATACAGCAAATTTAAATGTCTTAGTTTTTTTTTTTTTAAACTGGTATCTTTTATAGAACAAATCAAACCCTAAGGATGTAATCAAATTAAAAGGATTAGTACTCATTAATAAGCTGGCAGTAATATTTCATCAAAAGTTTGCTAAGTCTCTCTCTGCAAAACCAATAGATAAAAGCAGGCAGTGCATAAAAGTGTCTGTCTACTGCATTAAAATACGACAAAAAATAGTATTTCTTAACATCGCCAAAGAACCATCTATTTCTGAAGATCATACCAGTTCCCATTGCATAGGCCAGTAAGGGTCATTAAACACCAATGGGTCTCTGAGTCCTTCTTCAGAGTCAATGACATTGTAGACTTCACTCGGGATCTCATTTTCTTCCACACAAGGTCTGCAGGGCAAAGACGGCAAATGAACTATGAAAAACATAATCACTGCTTTTACTGTTGCTTTTTTTGTCATAAAAATTCCATTTATTTAAATTCCATTAAAAAGCACATTCGGCTGCCGAGAGCATAAATATACACTTTTATTATATTTAGCATTTTTCATTTTCAAAAAAATTCTGACATTTGTTTAGATAAAAAATGTTAAAATATTTTTGAGCTACCTGTTTCAGCTAACCACTTATGCATTTGTTGCCTACAATAAATGCTGGAAAAATGAGTGATTTGAAATGCAATTCAAAAGCTCTGTATATATTTCCCATTAGAAGTTATCAGCTTACACTGATCTTTATCCTTATCATGTCATGTGCCTGCCCGTCTGACTTTTCCCAAAATACATCTCTTAAAGAGTGATTTAAATTACTTAAGGAGTGCCTGGGTGGCTCAGTCAGTTGAGCATCTGACTTTGGCTCAGGTCATGATCTCATGGGTTTGAGCCCCGCATTGGGCTCTGTGCTGAGAGCTCAGATCCTGGAGCCTGCTTCGGATTCTGTGTCTCCCTCTCTCTCTGCCCCTCTCCTGCTCATGCTCTGTCTCTCTCTCAAAAATAGATAAACATAAAAAAAATTAATAAATTACTTGGACTATAGTAAATAACACTTTTTTTTAATCTCAGTTTTGTAATTGCTCTGATGTATTTAATAAATCATTAACCAAGCAAGTGACAGTGATAGAAATTCAGGATGGCTCTTTAACAAAATATTCTCCTGGAGATAAAGCTGTAACTCAGTCATTCATACCTGCCTGTGCACTTTGGAAGATTACCAAAACCAAATTTTGAGGGAAATAATTAAGCAATGACATTGACAACACCTCTGTTTTAGAAATAAATTTAAATTTAGTAAAATGATAAATGAAATTAAGCTATCATATATTAGAGTTATTCTGATTTATAAATATATACAAGGTTAAACTATGATTATAAGTTTATTAAGAACAGGAATTTTATCTAATTTTGAGAAAGTCCCACACCTGTGCACATAGGGTATTTGGTAATTATCTGTCAATTTACTAACAGATTATCAAAATGGAATAGCCAAGTAGCAGTATGTACATAAGAAGGTTATGTCCAGAAATGTTCTCTTTGGCATCATTTGCAAACAGGGAAAAATGAAACAACTTGAATGTACGTGAACATGAAATTGTTTTAAAATCATATTAAAGTCACACGATGAAATAGTATTTCGCAGTAAAAACAAAACAAAACAAAATAAAATGACCTATAAGTGTCAATTGGAGCCATTTGGATCATTCTCAAAAATCGTATGGAGAGGGCAAAAGGCTCTGTACATTATGTTATCATTTATATAAAGTTTAAGTCATCCAAAAATAAGTTTATAAATTATTTAAAATAATATATATAAAGTATATGCATCTAAGTGTACATACAAAGAAGACTCTTCTGAAGAAGGTGAGGAGGGAAACAGTCTTAGGAGGGGCACACAGAGGAATTCAACTCTAGTGAAGTTGAATTCCTTCAAAGGAAATAGAGTGCAACTCTAGTGAAGTTATTCCTTCAAAAAACCTGGAGCCATTATGACAAAATAAGGTTAACAAATACAGCTGGTGTATACATATTATACGTTATACTGGTGTGTATATTTTTATGTATATTGGGAGTATGTCATAATGACAAGATACACATACACAAACAAAACTAGTACAGACTAGCTGTTATATCAGTGAGCCAAAGATGGCTTCTGTACATTGGCCCTATGTTGTTTACTTCTTTACAGCAAGCTGGGACCTATTAGCTCCAAACCCCATGGGCACCAAAAAACCCCAAATTTTTACATATCCAGTTGTTTTAAATAAAGCCCATATAAGCAGAATTTTAGCCACTTACGGCCTTCCTGCATTGCACAATGCACAAAACTGCACCCAATATCTGCTAACCATAGATCAGATAAACTCTGTGGCCATAAAAGACTCCAAGCTTCTGCTGCCCTTCAGAGCTCTCTGACCCAGAGACTCTCCATTATGCTGCTGAGCAAAATCATCTAGATTCATAACACTCTCTCTGATCCTCTTTCCCCCAGACTTCCCTTTGCCCTCTGCCTCTTCTGGGTAGTAGCCTTCACCCTTTACCTCTGGAAGGGCTCCTGCTGTGAGGGACTTTCCCCAAATGCAAACCTGCCAAAGCTCTGTCCAAATAAAACTCCTTGTGTGCTACTGCCACCTCATGGTCATATCTATTTCCTTGATCATCCCCCCAGATCCCTCAAACTCAATACAAAGAATTGGGAAAGATATCAGAATAAAGGTCAGAAGACCTGAATTCTCGATTCTGCACTCCACTTTGGCTCTTGCGTTGATCAGAGGGTCAAATGCACTTATCTAGCTAAACATTTCCATACTTTTGTCAAGAAGAGGATTATTATTTCTCCAGGAATGGCTGTTAGCTGTGAGTTCAGAAAAATAACATTCAGAAACATTTGGATGGCCATTTAAGAAGGATGTAGCATGGTGTTTGCAGAAGTGCCTGGGGACCCTGCCTGCCCTGCTTGCACTGTGAAGCCCTCTTCTCTACCACTGCAATGACCACAAATCCTATCAACCATCAAAGGGATAGCATTTGAAACTTATGAAATAAAACATTTAAGTAGAGGAGAAGAGGAAGTTCTATTAAATGTGAGGATTTAATTTAAAAATACCAAAGCAATGACAGTAAAAATAGAATAAAAGAAAATACAAAGCAATAAAGTAATAAAAATTGTTAAAACAAGTTATAAAAAATGAGGAATTAAAAGTAGTTATGCATAGAAAAGTGTTTGTTGTGATCTCATTGTTTATTTCACTCATATATACATGTAAGCATGAATATTTATGGAAGAATACTTCAGAAAATGTAAAAAGGAGAGATCAAGAAAATTTCCTTATGACTCTCTGTACCATTTGATTTTTTACCAAGTGCTTGCACAACATTTATGTTTAAAAAACTCTTTAAGACAAAATAAATATCAAAATGTCCCAGATTTTCAATGAGATTTTGGAGTTAAAATTTTTAGCAAAATTTCTAGTTTTTAAAACAAAAAACAAAAAGAAAAACACAGACACAAAACGAATTCTATTCAATAGAATGTTAGCAGGCTATATTTGTGCCAATGTCACAGATTTTTACCTCTGATCTATTTTCTCAAAATTTTACTACATATTATTGTAATTCAGAACTGTAGGAATACTATATCTTGAAACAACAGCAAATAAGAATAAAATAGGTTACTTCCTTCCAAGATTTGATGTAAATTAGCATTATAATCCATTGGATCTGAAAATCCCCTTGTTTTGTTTAACTCAAAATGAAGGGAGGACTTTTTTTAGACAATTATATTTCCATGTAAATAGTTATATCTTCATTTTTATATCTCATGCAGCTATTTTCTCAATCCTAAATTGAGAGAATATCTAAATATTTTGTGATTCTAAACTGGTTAGCCTTTCAAAACATTTTTCTTCATACTTACATTTTAGCACATTTGCTAAGTTGCAACATTTCATATTCCTCTTCATTACTGACTCATAAACACACTGACCTGTACCAAGTCTATACAGGTGACACAGACACAGTGACCAACAAGTGCCTTCCTCATTTTGCATGTCCCTGAAGAGCACGTGCTGTCTTCAGAAATGATTTAAGTGACCCAAGGCTTAAGGCATCCCATTGCAATGGTTATGATTTTTTAAACTGAAGAAAATTATGTGAAAGCTACATCTTCTCTGTTGCATTCAAATTCACAGAAATGGACAGCTGAAATTCAAAGTCCTATTAGGATGTCACATAGGAAAATGCCAAACTGGCTCTGAATGATTATTTCTTTTTAATTTTTGCAAAATAGTAATGTTAACCATTGCATCATTATCTATTATCCTTCTGCTAGATGTTCTATACCAAAGCTACATTTTGGAAAGAACTACATTACCTCATGATCCTACCAGCATTATTTAATTGTGCATGTGTATACACACACAACTATATAAAAATGAAATGAAGAATTGAAATAATAAAAAATAACTTAGCATATATACTCTTTTTATTTCCTAACAAGTTTCTTTTACTTTTCTTTTTAAAGAAAGTAAATGTGACAGGTTAAAAAAAAAATTGGCCCAGGGACTGTCTTTGAGACAGCCAGGGGGAATAGTCTGCTTTAGAGAATGAAGTCACAGTCATGATATAGTTAGAGGAGTTTGGGAGCCTCGCCAAGAACAAGCTGGTAAGGCCTGCAGACTAACCTCAATTCGTGCAGTTTTCAGGCATATAATAGCTGCATGGTTAGAAGCCATTTCACTGATTCACCTGAACCCTATTCCCAGTTTTCCTTCTATGCCAATCTCACAGCATGGTTTGGAAAATATTTTATCTTTGAAGAGACACCAGCTTGCTAACTATCCACCTAACAGTGTACACAGCTTTGCATCCAAGCAGGAGCTCCTTCTATAGGAAATTGCTAAGACTTTCAAAAATTTAAAGCAATAATGCAAAATATTCTTCACTGTGAAAGAAAATAAAAATCATCTGAGATAATAAATCATTTTATTTTTTCTCATTACTACATATTACAAAAACACACAAACAAAAAATGTACTCCTTTAAAAATTTTCAAATCCATGTGCTAGTCCAAGGGTCAATAAATTTTTTCTGTGGAGGACCAGGTTGTAAATAATTTAGACTTTGTGGGTCTTTCTGGTCTCTGCCACAGCTATTCAACTTGGCCATAGTAGCAGGAAAAGAGCTATAGACAATACATAAACAAATGGCCTGAATTCAAGCAAAATTTTATTTACAAAAACAGGTGCAGGCAGAATTTGGCCTTTGGCTTTTGCTCCACCGTTGTGGATCCCAGCGCTGGTCTATAGCCTGCTTTTACCAATCATACAGTGTGTAACTATTAAAATGAACATCTATAAATAAGTATAAAGGAAAAACGTATCCATTCCCTACTGAGGT